TTTTTTTTCTTTTTTTTTTTGTGAGCCATTTCTTCTTTAAATGGAGGTCGCCGTATTGCATTATTCTCGGCTGATTGTAAGTCTCTATATATATATATATGCTGCGTAGTGTTTTTTTTTCACTTTTCGTGTAAATTTATATATTCGAGAATTTGGATGCTTTCATGCTTTATGATTCTATTGTAAAGATTTGTATCTTTTTCGTTATTTTCTTTTTTTTTCTTTTTTAACGGTTATGATGAGGTAACCCGTGAATTTTTTATTTTTCTTGTTTTGCTTCTTTCACAAGATAAGAAAGGAAAATCCCCCCTTTAGTTATACACATAATATATATATATATATAATTTTGAAGGCATAGACAAACACTTTCAATTGCATAGTTGAAGGAAAGAATTAAAACAACAAGAACAGTTAAAAAAAAAAAAAGAAGAAAAAAAAGAGACTTTAGTGGAACTGACGTGTGGACTAAATTTTCTTGTGTAAAAAAAAAAAAAAAACAACCAGAAGATGCCACCGCGGGATATTACTGGGCAAACGACCGCCTTTGAAGAGTTTAAGCGCAAGGCCAATTTAACATATCAGCGGTACCTTGACAAGAGTGTCCCACACCGCTCCATGCGATGGGCGATGTTTGCGTTTCTCATGATATTTTACATTCTGCGAGTCTTTTATCATGGAGGTTTCTACGTGATCACATACGCAATGGGTATTCACTTATTATACCTCACACTTCTTCTTATTACACCACTTGCGGATGAAGATTTCACTGAGGAATCTGAGTTACCAAGAAGAGGAAGTAATAATGATGAGGAATTTCGTCCTTTTGTTCCACGTGTACAAGAGTTTGTGGTCTGGTGCAGTATGTTTAAAGTTGTATCTATTTGTCTCTTTTTGACACTCTTTGATTTTCTTGACATTCCTGTATTTTGGCCAATTTTACTTCTATACTTTATTGTATTGACAGTAACACAGATGGGTGGACGCATTAAACATATGTTAAAACACCGTTACGTCCCGTGGAATGCAGGAAAACCAAAATACGTTCCGAAGACTTCAGTATGATTTCTTGAAAAAAAAAAATCAATTTTCTATTATTATTATTATTATTATTATTATTATTATTATTATTATTATTATTATTATTGTGATGATTATGATGATTATTATTCGAAAATTGTGTCTTCTATTTGAATGACGGTGTTTTCTTTCTGCTACTGTGTCTTTGTTTGTTTGCGTTTGCTTGCCTATATATATTTATATATTTATATATAACCGTGTGCCTGTTTTCGAAGTAATGTTCATTATTGGTACGGGAGAAGAGAAAGAGAGAGAGAGAGAAAAGAGAGGAGGTGAATGGACACGTCAATTTGATAAATGATAATGACGGTAGAGAGAGAGAGAGAGAAAAAGAGTTTAAGGAGAGAAAGGTGGGGAACAGAGGGAAGAAAAAAAGGTCTATTGGATGTAGGACTGGATAGATGAGGAGAAGGAAGGGATATTTTTATTCATCTGTGTCTTTTTCTTTTGCTTGTTTTTTTTTTTTCTTGATTTCTCTCTTTTTTTTTTTTCTTTCTTGCATTTCTATACTCTTTTCTATTTTGTGTATATGAACAACACCCGATTCTACCACATAGACACACATGCACACACAATATGATCTCTTTGTGGTTTATTTTAGTATAAGGTAAACCTTGAGATGATGTGTGCTACGTTGGTGTTCGTTTTTTTTTTTTTCCGGTTTTCATCGATTCTCTGTCATTGTTGCATTGTAATTGTTTCTTTTTTTCTTTTTTTTTCTTCTCTTATTATCATGTACAAACTATTTCGTTCAAATTATGAATTCTTGAAAATAATAAAATAAAATTTAAAAAAAAGGCCGTTGGAAAAAGAAAAAGAAATAGGAATACAGCTATACAGGTGTACATATCAGAGTAGGTGCACAGGGGAGGGTAGAAGGAAATACTGATAGTACGAAACAAAACCAAGCAAAGCAAATTCAAATAAAAAGAAAAAGAAGAGATCAAACAGTCCCCCCAAAAAAAAGAAAAAGGAAGAAATAAAAGGAAGAACAGAGAGTGAAAAGAAAAGAATATATATATATATATTTTTTTTTCTCTCTTGACTGCTATATAAAGAAGTAGTGTAACAACAGTGGTATTAACACATCATGTCGCACGAAAAGGGCGCTTGTCAGACTACCAACACGGTCCGAGTGAAGGATAAGGAAGAGGAAGAGGAAGAAATTATCCCACTTGATCAGGATGATATTGCGCTACTCAAATTATATGGATCTGGTCCTTATCATGCAACCGTAAAGGAGTTGGAAGAGTTTGTTAAGACAAAGGCAGAGGCCGTAAACAAGCAGGCTGGTGTGAAGGATAATCAACTTGGTCTTGCACCACCTGTGCAATGGGATCTTAACAGTGATAATGATGTAATGCGTTCTGAAAGTGCCTTACATGTTGGTCGTTGCACACGAATTCTCAACAAGGGACAACCCGATGCAAAATATGTTGTGAGTATACGTGATAATGCCAAGTATGTGGTAAAACTTGGAAACCGTGTAGCCCCGGAGGATATTGAAGAATCCATGCGTGTTGGAGTGGCGATGGGATATTCTACCATTCAAATTGAAATCCCACTTCCACCTCGTATTGATCCTTCTGTATCGATGATGCAAGTAGAGGAAAAACCAGATGTAACGTATAATGATGTTGGTGGGGCAAAAGAACAGATTGAACGTATTCGCGAGGTGGTAGAACTTCCTCTCACACACCCAGAGAAGTACACACAATTGGGCATTGATCCTCCCAAGGGTGTTCTTCTCTATGGACCACCGGGAACGGGTAAGACTCTATTGGCAAAGGCCGTGGCGAATCGCACAGATGCGACTTTTATCCGCGTGATTGGATCTGAGTTGGTGCAGCGCTACATTGGTGAGGGAGCTCGAATGATTCGTGAGATCTTTCAACTCGCCCGATCTAAAAAAGCGGCGATTATTTTCTTTGATGAGGTGGATGCGGTTGGTGGGGCCCGCGGTGGTGGGAGCGGAGATGATGAGATCCAACGCACCATGTTGGAGATGGTCAATCAGATGGATGGATTTGATGCCCGCGGGAATGTGAAGGTCATTATGGCCACCAACCGCCCAGACACACTCGACCCCGCCCTCACTCGACCAGGGCGAATGGACAGACGGCTAGAAGTGGGTTTACCAGATCTAGAGGGACGCACAAAGATTCTCCGCATTCACGCCAAGTCTCTTTCATGTGAAAAGAATATTCGATTTGAACTCATCGCAAGGTTGTGTCCCAACTCTACAGGGGCGGATCTCCGCTCGGTGTGTACGGAGGCAGGGATGTTCGCCATTCGAGCGAGGCGAAAGACCATCAATGAGAAGGACTTTCTTGATGCTGTCAACAAGGTGATTAAGGGACAGCACAAGTTCAGTGCTACAGCAAAGTACATGGTCTACAACTGATGAAGAAGAAGAAAAAGAAAAAAAAAAAAGGAAGAAGAAAAGAAAAGAAAAGAAAGAAAAAAAAAGAAAGAAAAAAGAAAAAGGGAAGAGAGGAGACAAAAGGGGAAGAGAGAGTGTGTGGAAGAAAAAAAAAAAAGGTGTGGCATGAGATCAGTTGTGCTAGTGGGGTCAATTTATGTATGTGTAATACTGGCGTGTACTTTCTCTTAATCCTCAGTTTGTAATTTCTTTCTTCTTTTTTTTATTCTTGTTCTTTTTTTTATTCTTTTTTTTTATGTGTGTTTCCTTTGTTTTTTTTTTTTTTTTTGTTTTTCTTTGGATATATTTATTTCGATCTTATTATTGAATCCAGTACTACCATTTCTACAAATGTTATTGCCTCCTTTCGTATACGAAAGAACAGAAAAATGGAGTAGAAGAGTCATAATGTTCTCTATTAATGTGATTATATGTATTACTGTGGATATGTACATTATCCCATTGTTTTTTTTTTTTCTTTTTCATGTTTATTCATTCTTCTTTCTTTCTTTCTCTCTTTTTTTTTTATATTATGGACTTGTAAAGGAAGGGAAGGAATCATCTTTTTCTTCTTTAGCTTACTCTCACTCTCTCTCTCTGTCTCTATCCCTCTCTTTTAGTGTGTTAGTGTGTGTGTGTGTGTTTGTGTCAAGTAAAGAGTAAAAGGAGAAGGCAAATAAACGAGCAACACAGACATTATATTTATATATTTATTCATATTCATACCGTTTTGACTGAGAGAAAAAAAAAAAAGAAATAAAGTGACACATTTTTATTTTTGTTTTCTCTTCTAAGAGGGAAGTCTGTGTGTGTGTGTGTGTTCATCGAAGTGGTAATAGAAATAGTTACCAGTAGTTCTTGATATTATTCTTATTATCATTCTATATATTTATTTATAAGATCAGAGGATTATCGTCGATATTTCAGTGTTTTACCGGGTTGGCTGCTTTTATTTCTTTCGCGTGGTAAACGAGAAACAGCTATAATAGCACAACGTAGGAAGTTAAAAAATAAGTAGATATAGAAGTTTAACCAAGAAAAACAACAACAAAAAAGAAAACCCTTTTTTTTGTTTACTTTTATACATGGCTGGGATTACTGGAGATAAGCGTAGCTCTATTGATGTACTCATTCGAGTACGACCCATGCGGGCAGAACTGAATGAGGTAAAATGTGCGTGGGATATCGGTACAAATACCCTGCGGGAAAAGAGTAATCCTGATAGTCTTTTCACTTTTGATCATGTATACAATATTGATGCGACCACACGGGAATTGTATGAACGCAGTGTACGCAGAGGAATAGTAGCCAATGTCGCTAAAGGCTATAATGGTACAGTATTTGCTTATGGTCAAACTGGTAGTGGTAAGACTTATACCATGTTAGGTGAAGATGGTATGGATGTTGGCGGTAATCATAATAATAGTAATAGTAATAATTATAATAATAATAGTAATAGTAGTTATCGTAATCACCACTCAGAGGGACTTGTTGCCATGACGGTTCGTGATCTTTTCACAGATCTTGAAGGAGAACTACGGAAAGATCCATCTATGCAAATATCTGTATTTGTAAGTATGGTTGAGATATATAATGAGCAACTACGGGATTTATTATTAGCATCAGGAGCCCCTACATTACCCTTATCTATACGTGAGAATGAGTATGGTGTATATGTACATAATGCTGTAAGGCGTCAAGTATCGAGTGCTCAGGAATGTACACAAGTTATTCATACACAAGCAGCAGCACGTGTCTCTGCTAATACTTCAATGAATGAACATTCAAGTAGATCCCATTGTGTTATTCGTATTCTTGTAGAAAAGACTATTCTTATAGATGATAGTAGTGATGTCTCTTCCTATAGTGATGATACAGATGCTGAAAATAGTGATTGTTTAAAAAAAAAAATTGTTTCCACACTTAATCTTGTGGACCTTGCTGGATCTGAAAGAGTTGCGAAATCTGGATTAACGGGTATGCGAAGAGTGGAGGGTGGACATATTAACAAATCTCTTACTATCCTCACTACTGTGATTAGTCGATTATCTGAGAATAGTAACTATATGAGTGGAAATAATACAAATACCACTAATACTATTGGGAGTGCTGGAACTGTAAGTGTACCGGCCTTTGTTCCTTATCGAGATTCTCGACTCACACATCTTCTTAAAACCGCTATTGGAGGGAATTCACTCACAGCTGTTTTTTGTTGTATCACTCCCGCTATTCAACATGTGGATGAATCTCGCAGTACACTACAGTTTGCGGCCCGAGTGAAATCTATAAAGAATAAAGTTTCTGTAAACGAAGTCGCAGATCCAAGGACGAGACTTCGGGAAATGGAATTATCTTTACGCCGGTATAAACGTATGATGGTAGCTACTACACTTTATTTATGGAGTAAGAATGTTCGAATTAAAAATATGCAAGAGAAAATAGATGAATTGATACTTCACTTACAAGGGAAATCTGAAGTGGACTCTGAACTTCTTAATAGTTATAATAATAATAATAATAATAATAATAATAATAATAATAATAATAATAATAATAATAACAATAATAATGGTTTTGTTCCTCCTGGTAAAACAGTACGATCATCATTAAATGAACAACAACGTATCATCATTGAACGGCTTACAGAACAGAATGAGATGCTGCAAGAAGAACTTGTGAATACTAAATCCGCACTAGAACGTAAAAGTGGAATGATGGAAAATAATAATAACTACATGGATCTTAATATCAATACAGGAGCCGCAGCCGCAGCCGCAGCTATTGGAGTGGCGGATGATCATGAGAAACAACAACTTCGTAGTGAACTTCGTGAATTAGAACAAATGTTAAAAGAAGCCGTAGATGAGAAAAATGCTATTCAACAGTCTATGGATGAATTGGATAGTTTCTGTAAAGAGTTGGAGGATGAAAATTCAGCACAGGCCTCTACGGTAAAAACATTAAAAGAAAAATGCAAGGAACTACAAACACTTATAGATGCAAAAGGAGATGCTGAGAGTAGTGCCAATGCGGAAGTAAATTTATTGAAAGAACAACTTTCCAAAACACAACAGAAACTATTAGAAAAAAGTCGTGGAGATGATTATTTACAGCAATTAACAAAACTACATATTGAACATCAAGAACTTCAGTTCAAATATCATCAACTACAAGAAAAACATAATCGTGAGATGGAGGAACAACACACCAAAGTGGAAGATTTACAAACAAAAATAGAAGAATTGGAAGATGAAGTAACGGAAATGCGGGATATAAATAAACTACAAAATTCATATCTTTGGCGATTAATAAGTGTGGCTTCTGTGGTCTCACGGGGAAAGGCAGCAGATCCAGAAGAGACTACCGCTACCGTTCGTGGTTCTCAAGTAGATGCGGCGGTGAATACACTCACAGCAGTGGTGTTATCATCATTGGAAAAACCCCCGGCGGTGTTGGATTCCGTCAAGAGATCTCAACAACGAGAAGAAGAAGAAGAATCACCAGAACAGGGAAATAATACAAAAATGACTGAAAGCAAAGATAATAATAATAATAATAATAATAATAATAATAGTGATGGTGATAATGCCAATCTTCAAAGACGTATTGAAGAATTACAGCGACAGCTTATTACAAGAGATGCACAACGTGATGTTATCGTAGATAGTAAATTAAAACGCATGCAAAATCTTGTACTGCGTCTTCATACCACAAATGCGGCACTTGTAGAAGAAATGCGAAATTCTTTTTCACTTAATGAGGAACTCTTTCGCATTGTGGATAAGCATCCAAAGTTATCTTCAAAGGTTGTCAAGGCTGGACTTATACCAACATCACTTAAAGCCGCACTTGAACGGGCTACATTAGCCAGAATTCCCACAAAACCATATGGACACAACTAAAGAGGAAGAAGGATAAAATAGAGGTAAAATAAGCATACCCACAGGAAAAGGAAAAACAAATCAGTACTTAAAGAGTCGATTCTGTTTTTTTTTTTTTTTTTTTGTTACTCTTTTCCTCTCTCTCTTTCTCTACCAGATCTCTGGATAGATTGCTTTTGCACTATATGTATTTCTCCATTCCTTTTCGTGGGGAAGTGCTCTACAAATTCTTTCCTTTATATCTCTTTTGCTTTTTCTCTACACACGGGATTATATTTATTATTATTATTATCTGAATGGTTTAATTGTGTTTATTTCATCTTCCCATTATTATTATTACTATTATTATTTTCCGTCCTCCTCCTCCTCCTCCTCCTCCTCCACTGTTATTGCTAATCTTATTATTACTACGACTGCTATTATCTTACGATCTCCACTCATCTCATTATTATTATTATTATTATTATTATTATTATTATTATTATTACTTTACACAAAAAAGAATGCAAAAGGTTGGGAGGCATGGTAGTTACGCCACACAGTTCTGGACGCGGCCCACCCGCCCACCACACCGCACTCGCCACGCCGTGTTAACCGCACATTCACGTAAAGCTCTCCAACGCCGTTTGGTACTGCCAATAGACGCACACGATTGGCAACGGGCGCTTGAAGTGTTGAATGCACGTTATGCCCGACTCGGCCGCACACCGGAGGATTATCAACGAGTCATTCGCGGCTTGGCAACTGCTGTATCTCCACAGCAACGCCGTCATGCCTTATATACATTAGAGGCACTACGGGATAAGGCATACGCTGGTGAAATAGTAACATCTGGAAGTTTCTGGGTGACGCTGGTGTGGGCCTATGCACAGTTGCGATTCCCGAATGAGGCTTACACATGTTTACTGCAAGCCGAGCGACGATGTCAATTATCACCACTCACACGGCAACACATGGCTGAGACACTGTTGCCACTACTGGCAGAGTCTGGGATGTTGACAGAAGTAAAGTATATGGTAGAGAATTTCTTAAACGCAGGTGGTAGTCGTCAGGAACGAGCACGTGTGATTAGTTTAGTAGCGGAAGCTGCAGCACGAAGTGGTTCGTGGGCAACTGCTATTACATCATTACAAAAGGAAATATCCATAATGACAGAAGAAACAGTAACATCTATGGAAGGGAATATGAACAGTACTGTAAATACTACACCACGAACACTTTCTTCTCTCTTTGTTAATAAGGAGGTAGTAAGTGTATCTGAAAAGGCATCTCATTCCCCTCAAGAAGTTTTACAAGTTTCAACAGAAGCATTGCGATCTATGATGAGTTCCATGTCAGATGATGGACAATGGATGATGGCTTTACATTGTTTACGAGAGTTACAACAGCGATCTAGTAGTAATGTTTCTAAAATAAACCTCTCTATTGGGAAGAATACAGAAACCTATAATGATGATACGGATAATGTGTCCAATCTGAAGAAAGATGAAGAATTACCAATGCTTTCAGAAGATGAACTACAACGACTTCTTAACTGTTTGGGAAGTAAGGAACGTTGGGAAGAGGCGATAAGAGTTTTTATTTCATACTATGGTTTGAATAAAACACCCTCAGAGAGAATACCCCGATCATTACATGTATTGACATTAAATTTACTCTTTTCCTCTTTTCCGAGAGAAAGCAGAGTAGTTACTCTTGTAGAAGATGACCAAGAGGGGGGAGAAGAAGAAGGAAAAGTAACTAATAATAATAATAATAAGAGACGAGGATCTATACAACTACAAATGGAAGTTTTACGTCATCCACAAGAAGCTATTGCGTTACTTAATCAATTGTTTAGCGAACGTGATGATGTAGTAGTGACTGATAGGATGATGGCAGCAGTGGGTCCTGCTTTATTACAGTTAGGCCACTGGGAGCGAGCTCTACATTTATTACGACAAACACCTTCTCTTAGTTCAAGGAAAGTGGAAAAGACTTCAACAGAGGCGAATCGTTGTTTACGTGAGCAATTAATGGCACTCCTTTACTATTTACATCATGCTATTTCTCTTGAAGCTCGTTTTTACACCTTATATCACTTTCCCTTTGCCTTCCCAAAGGAACTCTTTCAAGGTCTTCCACCTCCATCTGAGCTTGCATCGTATTTGAAGGAAATGAAACAACAAGAAAAGAAAGAGGAGATGGAAGAAAGAGTCAAGAAGAGCATACAAGAAAAGAGGGAACAGGAATTAACAGTTTCTTCAAAACTTCCTGAAAGTCTAAAATACCGTCCTTTCGCTTCTCGGCGTCGTTCTAACATTGTACAAAATACAGAAAAACATGATGATGAGCTTAAGCATCGTTTAACGTCCCTTTACACTAATCGCAAGATGGCGTTTCCCGAGAACTGGGATGCTGAGAGTGATCCACGACCACCGCCTAAGGGACTACACGATCAAGCGAGTGGGTGGAATTTCTACGGCCGCGGTGGTGAGATGGTATTCGCAAATCACAAACGCACAGCACATCCCTTTACTTTACATCCTAAAGTGATGCGTTCGTTGGCAGATCCATATCGTGGCTGGAGTTTAAAGCAAAATAGTTGTTGGGGTCATCGTGAGCGGGTGCGGAAGTGGAATGGACACAGTGCTGTTTAAATGGGGTGTGGTGTGGGGAAAACATTTCTCGAGACGAGTGGGAATAAGAGTGGGGGAGAAGAAAAAGATTCATTACATTACATATATATATATATATGTGTATTATTATTATTATTATTATTATTATTATTATTATTATTATTATTATTATTTCTGAGAGGAGTGTTATTCTTTTTAAGTATATCATTCCTTTTTTATTTTATTTTTTGTTTTTTATTAATTCGTTCTTTTTCAATCTTTTACTCGTGATTTATTACTATTATTATTATTATTTTAGAAAGGAAATTATAAGATAGATTGAAGGTTGGACCTCTTCTTTCTTTTCTTTTTTTATTTTATTTAAATGGCATCAACTTCTGGTACCCACACCCTTCTATCCCGTGTGAATTGCGTGGAGAGAGCAGCAGAGGTTGCCAAAAAGTCGCCACCTAAAATTGTCCCATTAACAGAGGAAGCCAAAGCTCTCCCTACACATATTATTAATGTCACAGATCCATCTAAATTAAATGCGCAAACACCTTTTTTTAAGTGTCCACCTTGGGCAGGGCTTCCAGTACGTGCCTGTCATCTACACTGCACACGAGATGGAGTGCCACTACCTTCATTAGGTTTGGATCGTTTTCCATTTTATTTATTTGGACGAAGTCCTGTGTGTGATTATGTGCTTGAACACCCATCGGTGAGCAGTATCCACGCCGTATTGGTATTTCATCGCGAGCAGGAGTGTTTTGTATTGATGGATTTGGGTTCAACAAATGGGGTAAAGCTTAACGGTGTTCGCATAGAGAAAAAGCGACCTGTTCCAGCTCCTATTGGGAGTAGCATACAATTTGGTTTTAGTACACGTCTTTACAAAGTTAGTTTGGGGCCTCCACCCTCTTCAAAGCGATTGCGAGAAGAGAGAGAGGAACGAGAAGAACTGAAGCTTGCAAAGGCACAGACAGCTGTGGATGCTCTTGTAGCTGCTACTAGTACTAGTACTACTACTAATATTGCTATCAATGCTGGAAATGATAATGTTACTTCTGCTACTAATTTAGTAAAAGATTCAGGCTTCACTTGCAAGACAGGAGTTGCAACAGAATCAACCGAAACTGTGAAAGAGAATCCAACAGGGACGGCTGTTGTTAATACAGAGAAGATGCAAACAGTAAAACCTACACCTGCTGTGCGGCACTTATATCATGTGCTTATTAAGCACAAGGATGTACGTCGCCCTGTCTCTCTCGCCCCACGTAATAAAGGAGATCCTATAACGCGATCGAAGGCAGATGCAGTGGCATTAGCAGAAGCCATTCGCTCACGACACGGTGAAAAGAAACAGTGGTCGTTAGAGGAATTTACTGCTGTTGTGAAGGACTTCAGTGAGTGTGGTTCTGCTAAACGAAATGGGGATTTGGGAATAGTGGAAAGTGGCACTTATACGGAGAAGTTTGACGAGGTGGCCTTTGCACTCGACGGAGGTGCTGTAAGTTCACCAGTAGAGACAGAACTTGGTGTACATCTTATTTACTACTACATTGATCCATAGGGAGAGATAGTATGCAGAAACTTTTACCCATCCAATTGTACAGTATGCACATATATATATATATATATATATATATATATATGAATAAATGTTAAAAAAAAAAAAAGAATTACTCACGTTCAAAGATACATACCTAGAGAGTATGAGGGATACAAGAGAGTTTAAAAAAAAAAAAAAAAGTGTGATGGAATGCACGGAATCGATAAAATATGATGGTTTAAATTTTTTTTCCCCCTTGAGAGAAAGGGACCCCATTGGGTATGCTTCTGTTGCAGTGTACGGTGATTTATGAATAAATGTGTTATAATTATTTCTTTTTTTTTATTGTGGTGATTATTTTTACTTCTTTTGGCTGTTTTTTTTTTTTTTTATCAGAGAGAAAATCAGAAGTATTTCTCGTTTCTCTTTTAGGTGCAAGAAAAACAAAAAAAAAAAGAGACTAGGGAAGGGAAAAGTAAAGGCCCTTCTAATTATTATTATTATTATTATTATTATTATTATTTTATTCCTGTTAGTATTATAGGAGGTATATGGGTCTTATTGCTGGGAGTTTAATAGCGAAACTGCTTGAGCACCCGCAATCTATACGTTTTTTTCACGTCCAGGATGGTGTTGTACTTAGTGGGGAATTCCCCTACAAGGATGAACACCGGATGGGTCGATTACTAATATTACAGCAAGAACCCCAACCGAGTGAACAGAAAAGATTGAGGAAATCCATCACATCTTCTCTTTCCACTTCAGTGAATGAAAGTACACCCACAGCAGAGGAAACAGTATCTAATAAAGTTACTGAAGAAAGTAAACAAGATAAGAATGATGGAAATTTCTTACTCTGGGTACCCTACACTTATCTTGCTGTTAACTTTCCACACTTACTCCCACCAACATTCAGTCATCTTATTGATTCCACAACGAATAAAGCAGATGAAAAAACGTGGAAATATATTACCTGTGCTGCGATTAAAAACATTTCAAGAGTACAACGTCGTACAAATTCCTTTGGGATGCCTATCATTATATTAACTTTTCTCGATGGAACATCAATGCATCCACTCATCTTTCGACATGGAGGTATTACAAAATTTCTGGAGGCATTAAAGAAAATAACTCCTATGCGACAGTCTCCTTTCCCAGATGACTTTGTTGTATATGGGGACTATGATGCCATTGTAGCAGAGACGGCAGCTGCGGCTGCGGCAGAATCTTCTCATTCCACGAGAGAAGAACTTAATGAAAGTAGTCATTCACCAACACCGCAATGTTCTGATAGTCATAATAATAATAATAATAATAATAATAATAATAATAATAAACGGAGTTCATTTTTTGAGGATGTCTCTCGTGAAGAATTACAACGTGTATTGTATGGAACTGGTGAAGTTTTTAATGGAGCACGTCTTCGTGATTCGTTAAATTTAACATTTAACCGCGTGCGATTAATGCTTCGAGGTTTTCCCGATCAAAAGCACAACAATACATCTTCAAATTCCACGCCATCATCTCAATTTCTGAAACCCAGCAACCATAATAATGATAGTGAAATTAATAATGATCATGACCACGAAAATCCATTAATGGATGAAGGGTTTGATCTCGTAGATGAACTCATTCCCATAGAGAAGCAAGTACCACGGTTACCAGAACCACAGAATGGAAGTATGGCATCTCCACTCACGGCTGCTGAATGGGAAAGTTGTTTTAATGGAGAAGATCGTCAAATTGATATTCACCGCCTTGAAGAGGCGAAACTTATTGTATACATGGGAGGAGTGGAACCAGATATTCGGTTCCAAGTATGGTGTTTTATGCTTAATGTGTATCCAGATGTACAAAACTCTACAGAGTCCAAGCGGCAGGAAATTCGAGAAAGATACGCACATATGTATGAGAAACTCACTCTACAATGGACAAACATATTTCCAGAACAAGAGAGTCACTTCTCTGCGTTCCGTGAAATTCGTTCTTCTATTGAAAAAGATGTTGTACGTACAGATCGTTTTCACTCTGCATATGCAGAAAGTGAAAGTGATAAACTACGTATGTTACGTCATGTTCTTATGGCTTATGCATTATTTAATTTTGATTTGGGTTATTGTCAAGGGATGAGTGATGTACTCTCTCCTATTATTCTCCTTGCTGAAACGGAGGTGGAAGCATTTATGTGTTTCCGTTGTTTTATTGAAGAGCATTGTGGGAATAATTTTAGACATGATGTTCGAGTTGGAATGGAAGTGCAATTTCGTGCACTACGTACACTTATTAGATTTTTTGTCCCTCGACTCTTTACGCATTTGGTCAATCAACATGCAGATGATATGGGGTTTTGTTTCCGTTGGTTACTAATGCTCTTTAAACGTGAATTCCCTATTGATGATGCCATGTTACTTTGGGATGTAGTGATTAGTTGTCCCTATACACCACACTTTGAGTTATTTATTGCGGCGGCCTTATTAAAGGCCATCACTCCACAAATACTTGAACAACATCTCACATATGATGAATTGCTTAAATTTGCCAACAGCACCGCTGGAAACCTCAACGTGCGTCATTTGATTCTATTGGCACAAGAATTCTACGATCATGTGGCTAGTCATGTTATTGCGTTAGACAGTCCAGGGACTACAATCGAAAGCTACCGACCGACTCTTGATGATATTCTTAAGGTTCTGGAAGGATCTTGCAAGTGAGTTACGCATACGTTGTTTTCTTTCTTTCTTTCTTTCTTTCTCCTTCTTTTTTTTTTTATTTCTATCTTTTATCTGTTTCTGTGTCTGTGCTTGACTCTCTTTATTTTGTTTTTTTTTTTTGTTTTTTTGCTGAAGTTAATATTTTTGATGTTGCGGATTATCTACACTCGTTGTAGTGGCTTACCTACCATGCTCAGCTGAATATATTAGGGTGAAAAGGGGAGAGGGGAAGCCATGAAGGAATATATATATATATATATATATATATATATACTAAAAGGTGAGAAACGCTCTCTGTATCCATATCTGTCATTGCGTTAGGTTCTGTAGGCGTTTCCTTTTTTTTTTACAATCGTGGAAAATGTCAAGTTTTGTTATTTTAAGTTGCTTCGCATGTGTGTTCTTTCACTTTTTCTTTTTTCTTTTCGCAACCCTTTCTACAGCTTGAAGCTGTGGTAATAAGATACACAGTGTCTAGCGTAATGTTTTCAATACACAGTTTCTTTTTTTTTTTTCTTTTTTTTAGAGCGACACTACTATGTGTGGTATGTGATCTTATATTATTGTTTTTTCTTTTTCTTTTTCGTTGTGTATGTTTCTTTAGTAAGTATCATTTCTTCCCTTTTTTTCTTTTTTATATATTTTCTTCTTTTTTCTTTTGATGGTATGATTAGTGCGCTGAGGAGGGGAAGGGGCTGGTGGGCAGAAAGTGTGTGCATGTGTGTTTTTTCTTTCTGTGTATATTATTATTATTATTACTGCAGGACGACACACACACACACACACATTTGATAACAGGAGCCCATCAAAAAACAAGAATACATAAATATCAGAAGGATAAATAACGCACATACTATTACAGATCCAATATATATATATATATATTTATTTATATTTATTTATATTTATTTATTTATTTATTTTTACATTTACAATGTCCAATCGACGTGAGAGTGCCCATGCATTTGTGCAGCGACTCCGAGCCACTCCCGTTTCACTTTCACCGCAGATCTTTCACAACGCCACTGATGGTGGATTGCGGCAAAGTGATGTGTTGATTGTTGGCGGTCCACCGGGATCGGGAAAGACAACGTGGGTGTACCGCGTGGCCGCCCAACATGTGAACAATGGTGGTCTTGTCACTTTTCTCTTTCTTCCCGGTAGTGGCAATTTTGTGTTGCGACGGTTTATGGAACAACTGGAAATGCTGACTCCATTATCTCTCACAACAGAAGATATGAGAAATAATGATTCTATGGATAATAATAATAATAGTGATGGGATAAGAACAACATGTACGTCTGATATTGAGACTCGGCGTCAAGCATTACTAAATGCACTCCATCGTGTGGAAGTGGTACACTGTGCAGATATTACGGATCTCGCTGTCTACTGCATGCATGAGAAGAAGAGTGAATTGGATTCTCTGCGCTCCGACACCGCCGTACCGCTTGTGATTGCGGAGGGTTGTGGTGGAAAAGGGAGTTATCTACATCACATGGAACGGGCGATGGGGCATGAATCCCCATTGTGTTATTGGTTTTTTAATTGTTTACAGCGACGACGGCGATGTGCACTTATTCTCGTAGAGGAATGGGGATTCACAGGAGTTGAACGGGAGGATTCCTCCTTCACAACTATAGTAGAGACAGAGTCTGAACTTCTGCGGCGCTTGCAGAAGGAAACATATCGAATGACGATGATACCTAAGTCTTATACAAACAAACGACAACGAATGAGTTCAACTTCTAATGTCATCTCCCATCCAGTGTCAGAAGCCTCTTCACATTTTGTGGGGAATCTGCGATTGTTTTATTTACACATACAGAGTATTCCAACAACAACTGTAACGATAACAACAACAACAACAACAGCAGCAGCAGGAGGAGGAGGAGGAGGAGGAGGATTTGTGACGGTGGCGCGATTGTTGCAGTGGCGTTTGATGCAGAAACAAGAAACAACTAGTGTGAAGAATGAAATATCGGAAGTCTTAACAGAATCTTCACGACCGCAGCGATGGCGTCACTCAATAGTGGAGAAACCAACACCATTCTGTGGGGAATTACTTTGTGCAGCACAGTTGTAAAAGATATGCATTATCAGTTATTAGTTTTTTTTTTTTTAGTTCTTGTTATTGTTGTTATCTTGTATTTCTCCTTAACCTACGGAGAGAGAGAGAGAGAGAAAGGAAGGAGAAAAGATATATAGCAACAGTATAGAAAAGGTATACCCTTTGCAGATTGAAGATTGGATTGATTAACCCAATTATATATATATATGTATATTGTTTCTGTATATATACATGTATGCATTCATATCTCATGAAGTGGATTCTTATAACCCTCACCATTAACTCAGTATTTTTTTTTTTTTTATTCTTTATTTTCCTCTTTTTTCTTTAATACAGGAAAGCGTCCAGGCAGTATTGCATAGAACAGCAGATATGGATAGTGATGACGATCGTATTCTCGGTTTAACAGTGCAGAACCCCGATGAATCACTACAGAACACATCAAGTGCTGTTGCTGCTGCTACTAGTGGTGAGGGTGGTGGTAGTGTAGGTGCTGATGGGGAAAGGAAAAAAGACGGAGAAGAAGAAGAGGAAGAAGAATTCCTTGACTTGGGACCACCCACTGATGATGATAATGATGAAAAAAAAGATAATGATGATGATGATGGAAGTGATGGTGAGGCGGGCGAGAGCAGTCATGCAAACGATAATGGTAGTAATGCCTCTAATGATGATGGAAGTGATGTAGGGAGTGAAAATGATGCACCACTCTCTGATGAAGCATTAGTGCGCATTGAGAGTAAGAGTGAAGCGAAGGCGCTTGGAAAAGAACTTTATAGACGCTGGAAGAAACTACAGAAACGCAGTAAGAAAGAAAAGCATCGACATGATAGCAAGAAGAAGAGCAAGAAAGATGATAAGAAGCATAAAGAAAAAAAGAATGAAAAGAGAAAACGCAGAAGGGCAGATGATGATGATGATGATGATGATGATGATGATAACGATTTCATGGATGAGATGGATGAGGAAAAGGAAGGAAAGCGAACAAGCCGTAATGCGAAAAAGCAACGAAAGAGTTCTCGTCATGAAAAGCCAATTGCTCTGGGTGATGAAGACCTAGGATCTGCACCTTTTGCAAATCTTGATGAAGTACTATTGACAGAAGAGGCTGCGGCAAGACGCAGTGGTGGGCGAAGCGGAAAAGGCAGCAGCAGCAGTAATAATATTAACAATAATAATCATAACATAGTCTCAGAATCAAAACCAAAGAAACTTTCAGCAGATGCTCAGCGTGGTGTACTCCGTTCAATGGCAGCTGCTGTTGTAAATGCTATGCGAGAGGCACGATTACAGGATGAAGTAGATATGAATCAACATCGACCACCACTTCATCGTGTAAGTATATTGGATAAAGTTGTGACCCAATGCCGCCGTGAGGCTTTACGACCATTTCTTATTGAGGAAGGTATCCTACAAGAGCTTAGCACTTGGCTCTATGATTTTAATCGTCGTGAACTTGCTGCATTTGAATTACGCTCCGCTGCGCTGGATATCCTTTTAGGATTCCCTATAGAAGGAGAATTAAATGTTGGTATGGCCCGTAATGGAGATGAAATATTGGATGCCTTTACTGGAATGTCCCGCGAACACCTTATCCACACAGACCTTGGTAGTGCTGTAAACGCATTACGACAAGATAAACATGAGGTTCATCAAAACCGTTCAAAAGCCGTACGACTTCTTGAGCGTCTCAGTCGAGCCATGTCTGGTGGTGTGAAATCTTCACATCGGAGTGGCGATGGATCGGGGAATTCTTCCTTCGCGGGTGGAAGTGGGGCCTCTAGCAGTAATGTGACGTGGAAGTGTCAAGATGATCCCACAGTGGCACCGCCATTTCATATGGTTCAGACGGGAACAGAGGCTTTTCAAACAGCACTTGTGCGGCCAGATCCACTGGATCCACTCTCTTATCTTCGCGTGCCACCACGTCGAGCCCCAAAGGCATATGTGACCAATCTCGGTGGCAATGTTGGTGTTGGAGAGTAGATCCTCTTATATCTCATTCGTGCTCTCTTTCGTTTGTTTGTTCTTTTTTTTTTTTTTTTGACTCTTTCTCTCTTTTTTTGTGTGATACAGCAGTTGCTGACAAACGATGTGGAGATTGAATAGTCGTGTAATGATGGTACAGACTTAGATGTCTTTTTGTTTTGTTTTGTTTTTTTCTTTTATGTAACTGTTTTTGTTGTTATTTTTGGCTCTTCTTCTGTTGTTGTGGAGTTAATCCTCTTTTTTTCTTTTTTTTTCTTCTTGGTTCTTTGTTATTTGACTGGTAATGGGGTGTTATTTTTTTTTTTATTATTGTTTTCTTGTTGCTGTTCTCGTTGGTCTTTCTTTCTTTATTTGCCTGTAATGTATATGTCTTCATATTTTTATATGAAAATCTAAGAACACGCAATAAAACAACAACGACAACAGGAATAACCTAAGAAACCAAAAAAAAAAAAAAAATCGACTCTCACTACATCTAGGGATTAGTGTATATCGTTTACCTTAACAAAAAAAAAGAAAAGTACATACATATATACTTATATATTCTCTTTACTTGTGGTGTGAAGGGCAATGTTCTCAATCGGAATTATCGGTTGTGGCAATATGTGTGAGTGCATATTGGGTGGACTTCTTCGCAGCGGGGAGTACGCGGCGAAATCCATCGCGGTATATAACCGCACAGAAGCTAATGTACAGCGGCTTTGTACACAGTACGGTGTGCGGGCCGGTGAAAACGCCTCACAAGTGGCTGCCAATGCAAAGATTGTACTTATTGGCGTAAAACCATATTCGGTGTGTCCCGTACTGGAGTCTATTCGGAATTCACTAAAGCCAGACACCATTGTTGTCTCTGTTGCAGCGGCTATTACGATTGCGGCGATGGAGAGGGCGGTGGGGCATCCGTGTAAAATTGTTCGTACGATGCCAAATGTACCTACACGTGTAGGAGCGGGTCTCACATCCATTACACCAAACAGTTATGTTACCCCAGAAGAGACGGCGTCTGTTGTGAAGATGTTCAACACTGTAGGGAAAACAGTGGAGGTGACGGAATCCCAAATCCATGCGGTGATTGGAGTGGCCGGCTCATCTCCTGCGTATGTGTTTATGTTCATGGAGGCAATGGCAGATGCCGCCGTGCACGGTGGACTCCCACGCGCGCAGGCTTATGAGTTGGCCGCACAGGCGGTGCTTGGCTCTGCGAAGTTATTACAACAACAACGAGAGGAGAATAGTAGTGTCTCTCCAGCACAGTTGAAGGATATGGTCTGTTCACCCGGTGGGACTACCATTGAGGCCGTCCGTTCATTAGAGAAGGGTGGATTACGTTCTACCGTTATTGAGGCGATGATAGCATGCATGGACAAATCGAAAGAATTGGAAGCCAAACTTAACTAAAAAAAAAAGAAAAACAACTGTTTTTTTTTTTTTTTTTTGTTTGTTTGTTTGTTTGCTTGTTCGTTCGTTCGTTTTTGATTTATCTTTCTCGTTGTGTGCGTGTCTGTGTGTGTGCTTTTTTTTTACAATTCCATAAATTTCAAATTACAATTTCATTGTTCCTTCGCTTTCTTTTTTTGTTTCCCTACAAACGGTCGGCCAGAATCTGGGGATATTATATATCTGGTTTCTTTTTGACGTGTTATCTTTTTTTGTTTTCTTGTTGTCCATGGATAGAACTGATATGGCTGTGATCCTCTGATCCAATATTATCTCTTTTTCCCTCATGGATAAAAGGGAGTAGAGTATTACTACGTTAAACAGAAGGTGCCCTAATGAACAAATAAGGGGGGAAAAAATATTATTATTATTATTATTATTATTATTATTATTATTTAACTATTACGCAGCTATCGGAGTAAACCATGAGAGGGGGCAAAAAAAAAAAAAGAAAGAATGGGAAAGTAAACGATTCTCTTATGCAATTTTACATGCTATTTGGAATGTGGTATTTTTTTTTCTTTCTTTTTTCCTATACTATACACTTGGATATACCAAATCTTGTGATGTTTGCAATGAGTTTGTGCTCTCTCTCTCTCTCTCTCCTTTCTCTCTGTTTCTCTTCTAACGACTTTATAGGAAGAAAAGAGTGGTATCAGGAACTCCTCTTATTTGAAGAGGGAGAGAAGAAACCGTTGAAAAGGAAAAGAAAAGTGTGTATAAAATAATTAAACAAAAACAAAAAAAGAAGAAAAAAGGGCAACAAAGGATTTAACAAAACGAAAGAAAAAAAAAAAAGGTCAAAAAAAAAATGATAAAAACTGCAAAAAGTGTACCTCTCGCTCCATTTACAGGAGGATCTCAGAAACCACCTGAGTCTTCAAAAAAGGAGGGTATTACGAGTAGTTGCTCTATTGCAGATATTCAAACAACATATGAACTTCTTCATGTTCTTGGGCGAGGATCGTTCGGTGTTGTTTCATTAGCAAGAGTGCGGAAAACTGGTAAAACTGTTGCTATAAAGAAAGTTCTCTTTGACAGCCGTTTACATCCACGTGAGCTGGTGATCCTGCGTGACCATCTTGGACCAGCTGCCCAACACAGTGGAGTTTCTAATTTAAGTAACAGTAATACCAGCCGCAATAGAGATGAAGGCGAAAATGCGAATATGAATAATGTATCTACAGAAGGGAAATCTATCTCAGTGGAGGATGCTACGGCTATTCCAACTATAGTTCCTTATCACCCAGGCATAGTTCAACTGTTGGATCATTTTTATGCTTGTGGAGCAAATGGGGAACAATACCTATATATTGTAATGGATTACATACCATCGGATATGTATCGTTTACAATATATGTATATACAACAAAAACGGCAACAAATGCCACTCATTCTCGTTAAGGTTGCCATGTTTCAGCTTGCACGAGCTTTGGTGTTCCTTCATACACGTGGTATGTGCCATCGTGATATTAAACCAAGTAATTTATTGATTGATCCAGAAACAGGAGTTGTAAAATTGTGCGATTTTGGCGCTGCAAAGGTGATGCAATCATTAGACTTTAAAGGTCCAAGAGAAAAGAATGTACCGTATATTTGTTCCCGTTATTACCGTGCTCCAGAGCTTTTGCTTGGTTCACTCTATTACCACTTTCATGTAGATATGTGGGCATTTGGATGTGTACTGGCGGAGTTTCTCTGTGGAGAGGTACTTTTTAAAGGTAGTACGACTGTTGATCAGATGGCTGAGATTTTTAAGGTTCTCGGTGCACCATCACGGCAAGAACTTCTTACGCTTAACCCACAAAGTGCAGAAGCGCTCACTTTGGCGTGTAGATCATGGTGTGATTCCTCACCTGCGCCAAATACTTCAATGAGTACAACTGCTCCTCCTCCTCCTCCTGGTGCTGGTGGTGCTGCTGCTGCTGCTGCTGCTGCTAGTACGACGAGTACAACTGCTGGTAGTGATTATTTTCAACGATATCAAGCTCTACAAATAAAAGCGCTACAATGGCAAAATGTGCTTCCACCCAATACACCAGCATCAGCAGTTTCACTGGTTGGTGAACTATTACGGTATACACCAACAGAGCGTTTATCTGCTATAGAAGTGGTACAGCATCCATTCTTTGATGAGTTGTTCACAGATGATGCACGTCTTCCTAATGGTGCGGCACTACCAGTGAGTATGTTTCAAGTAACAAGTGAAGAGAGTGAACTGTTTCCTTTATGGCTTTTAGAGCGCATGGGAAGTGCAGAAATATTGGCTAAACAATTGGCTACAGAGACTAGCAAAGAGGAGGTACCGAAACAATAACAATAAAGATTAAAAAGAATTCGTAACAATAAAATGGTACGGCAACAAGGGCGTAGACTCCAAATATATGACAAATTAAATATGTTACACATATTTCTCTTGCAAATGAGATCAACGATATATAAATTGGGTAATCGTTTAAGCAGGAAAAAAAAAAGATGGTCAAACATGTTTTTTTTTTTATTATTATTATTATTATTATTATTATTATTTGGTGTTGTTGTTTCTTTTTATGAAATGCAATCTGATCATCTTTTTCTTCTTGTAAGGATACCCCGTACAATATTTACTCACTCACATATATACACCCGAGGTGTTAAGAAAATAGGAAGAAACAATGCTGAAAAAGGAGAAAAAAAAAAGTGGGGAAACGTAATGGTTCCTATCTTGAACTGAAAAAATACCCTGGGAGAGAAGAGGGGATAAGATAATTGTTGTTGATGATGATGATGTTTTTTTCGTATTGCTTCCTTGAAATAAAAGCCAGATCTACAAATAAATGGATGTGGTATCTCTTTTATTTTTCTTTCTCTTTGGGTGCCCCTTCCCCCCAATCCATCTCAAAAAAAGAATTACTTGTACGGAGAATATAAAAATGAAAAGGTGAGAGATATGGTGGGAAGTGAGGTTTTTTTTTTTTTCTTTTTGGGGGGTGTATGGGTGTGTGTGGACCCTTACATCTTTTTGTTTTCATTGTTATGATGCTGGTGTTAACAATGAGGTTTGTCGAAGATGAATATAGTGGTGTTGTTTATGCCCTTGTTCTTGCTGGGCTTGTTTCTTTATTGTTTTGTTTCTTTGAGTGATTGGCTGGTTAATGCTGTGCGACGAGGTGTGTCCCCGTCTGTGTTCATTTATGTGTACCTGCTTTCAAGTGTTGGAAGCGTTTTTTTTTTTTTTTCTTGCCTGGTTTGAATGGATCTTGGTTTCAGTAGAATTCAATATTCCTGTTGTTGTTGTTTTTTTATTTGTCCTTGTCTCTCCATTTAGCCTATCCGTTTGTTTTCTTCACTGTTTTTATGTTCCTATCAATTCTTTTTTTTTTTACTCTTTACTAAAGAGGAGCTTTCTTGCATTGTTGTTATTATTGCTGTTTATTTGTTTGTTCTCGTTTTTCGTTTTTAAATGAGGGCAATGGGAGGGCTAAAAGGGTGATATGCTTGGGGGAAATGTGGAAAGGAAAGACAAACTCGCGTGATCTCTTCTTTTTTTTTTTCTTTTGGCACCGTCTCTTTTCTAAAAGGAAAGAAATAAACGAGACCATTAATGGAGGTTGTTGCGAGCTTCTTTGTATATACGGAGTTACTTAAATTATTGGCTTAATGCTTATATATATATATATATATATATATATTTGCGTTTGGACTTTGGGTGTTTGAGTGTTTTTTTTTTTTTTTATCTTGTTCTTGTTTTCTTCTTCCTTATCTTTTTTTTTTGTTTTTTCATCAGACTGCCGTTGCCAACATCACTGTGATCGTCAAATCATATTTTGTTGTGGTTTTGTGTTTGAGATTTCACTTATTTCTGTGCGTGTTTTTCTTTTTTTTTCTGAGACTGTCTGTAATTCATTTTTCTTCATTGCGCTCTATGTGAGTATTTTACTTTGTTGTTGATGTTTGCATGATGTTGGCTGTGGTGTGTGTGTGTGTGTGTTATTCCTTCATTTGTTTGTTTTTTCTTTCTCTCTTTTTTTTTCCTTCTGTGTTTCTTTCTTTATTTTTGCTCTTCTTTTCAGTGAGTGGAGAAAGAAAAGAAAAAATCCGTTCTTGTTTTACAAGGGTGTTTCTCATTAATTTTTTTTTTGTTTTTTGTTGCTTCCGCGTTTGTTTTTAATTGCTGCTTCCAATAACAAAAAAAAAAAAAAAACTACATCGTATAGTCTGCGGAAATTTGCAGGAGAGAATGGAAGAGAAAATGGAGAATGTGTGAGATACATGCCCTCAAAACAAAAAAAAAAAATGGAAAAGAGAAGAAATTCGATACACGTTAAAGAAGGAATATTGAAAGTGAATAAAAAAAAAAAAAGATATAAATGGATGGGGAAAGTGTGAATATTAATGGAGTTGGGGATTTTTTCAGGTTCCACTCAAAGACGTTAGCAACATTATTATTACAACAAGCATTATATTGAACTCCCTCCTTTCAATTGTTTCTCCCGGTAAGGGGGTAATATTGACTTTATTATTATTATTATTATTATTATTATTATTATTATTCCTTTCTGTGCAGCGACTCATTTGGTAGACAGGAGGGGATGTGCACATACTTTCAGAGAAATAAAATATAGCTCAACACGTAAAGAAAAAAAAAAAAGGAATGATAATTAGTATGATAATATCTATGTGATTGAACAAATCACATATATAAAATAAAAATAAATAAAAAATATCTGTGTTCAATTTCAATTTATTTTTTTTGTATGTTATTTTCTTCTTTATGCATCTTCTTTTTTTTTTTTTTTTAATTCTTTTTCGGTTCTGTTAACTAGTTGCGGTTGTAAATGTCCCTTTGGAAGGATGTGGCGGTTTCTGGTGCACTACTACGAGAGAGATTCATTCGGTATCGACCCGCAGTTGCAGCAGTAAACGTGTCAAGATCAACAGCCTCATCATCATCATCATCCGTAAAGTTCGCTGGTGCCCCATCACCTGGAATAATGAGAAACTCACATATTTATGGTCGTCGTAAATTGCTTTTGCCTGTATATGCCTATGGGAGTTGCCGAGGTGTTTTCACTGTGACTACCGTGATAAGAAATGGTAAGAATTTTGAATGGATGAAGCGAGAAGATGATAAGAAAGTGAGTCATATTGGGGAACGAGGGACAATGGAAGTGGAAACAAAGGAAAAAGGAATGTTGGGGTGGGAATCAGATGCAGATGAGCGACAAGCATTGCGAAGTATTGAAAATGCTATTTCTTCGCTAAAAAACGACTCATTACGACAATATGATGATGCCTTTAATTTTCTTCCTGCTGCTAATTATCGTCACTCTATGGTGATGTTACTTGGAAATCATAGTGCTGGAAAATCTACTATTATTAATTACTTGTTGGGTCGAGAAGTACAGAGAACGGGTGTAGCACCAACAGATGATGGATTTACTATTATTCAACGAGGTAATGAAGACAATGATGATGATGGACCTACTAGTGTAAGTGATCCACGTTATCAGTTACAAGATTTACAGAAATTTGGTTTACATTTTGTACATCGTTTTAAGATAAAAACAAGACGTTTGCCTAGTCAATCAAGGGTACCACCTGGATTAATGATAGTAGATTCACCTGGTATGATTGACACCCCTATTCATGTGCGTGACCGTACATCTCTGGAGGGTCAATTACGTGGCTATGATTTTCTCGCTGTAACTAGATGGTTTGCATCACGATGTGATGTAATTCTTCTTGTCTTTGATCCTGCTAACCCAGGAACTACTGGTGAAACACTTGATGTTCTCACAAAATCTCTCGCTGGTTTTGAACATAAGTTTCTACTTGTCATGAACAAGGTGGACATGTTTGATAAGACGACAGATTTTGCCCGAGCGTATGGAGCACTTTGTTGGAATCTTAGCAAAGTATTGACAATGAAGGATATTCCACGTATTTACACTACCTTCGTCCCTACAAAAGCTTCAATTGCTTCTGTTACTATTTCTACAAGTAATGTAGACGAAGAAAAGAAGACACGGGTACCATTATCATCTGCTGTGAAGTCGACCCCTATTTCCCCCTTTAGTGAGGAGGGAGCAAAGATGGTGGCGATGGAGGAGTTTCTGCGGCAGCGGGAGGAGGTGGTGGATGAGATCCTCAAGGCCCCACTGCGCCGCCTGGACAATCTCATCACGGAGGCGGAGGAGGGCGCACGGCGTATTCTCCTCGCCGGCCGCGTCTGCACGGCGATTGTGTGGGACTATCGCCGCTGGCAGATGATTGGAGTGTTGGCGCCAACGGCCCTCTTCGCTGCGAGTGCGGGGATATTGGCCCTCGGCGGGATCGCCACAACACCCGTCACCCTCGCCACCCTCACCGCACTCGCCGGGGCAACCACACTATATGTATCTGTCACAGGTCTAAAGAGGCTCGAGCGCGAATTGCTGGAGAACAGCGATGCGGTGGTGGATAGGATCTTTATTGGGCGCGAAAATACACTAGATCTGCAACTTCGCTGGAAGAACGCGGTGAAACCGGAAATATTAAACCTCGCAGAGACTTCAGATGCAGCGGGGCGTGGTGTTATCGCGTCGCTGCCAACTCTCACCCCATGGGGACGAAAAACGATAACGTCCGTCTTGAAACGCGATATCCCAGCACTGCGTCTGCGCGTGGCGGAGTACAAGCAGAGACTTAGCAGTCAAAATGGCAAACAGTCATCATCATCATCAACACCACCAGTGCCGCCCCTTTAAGGGGAATTCTGGTGCTCTTTTTTTTTTTTATTATTATTATTGCTTCTCTATTTTTTTTTTTATATTAGTAGAGATGGTGGGGGGTCGAAATAACAATAAAAAAAAAAAAGAAAGGGATGAGGGGAAAATTATTTCCTTCGGTTCTAGAAAGTGATGCGAGGGTAAAAGGAAGGAGAAAAAAAAATGTAACTAAAAGGAAAAAAGAAGAAAGTACATGCCTGATGTGACGTTTCTCTCGATTTTCGACTTACTTGTTATGTTTTTTTTTTTTTTTTGCCTTTACTGTTTCCACAGCTGCTTTTCATTTTCCAATTCTAACTTTTTATGGGTTTTTTTTTTGTGTAATGGTTGTTGTTCCTTGCCTGTATTTCGTTTTGGTGGTTTACACCCAGGGTAGTATGCTTTCTCTGGTATTTTTTTCCTTTATTGATTTCTTCAACTCAATTGTTTTTATTATTATTATTATTATTATTATTATTATTATTTATTATTAAAGGGGCTTTCACAACAATGAACAGCTATAAGTACATTCTTCAGAAAAAATCCCCCCTTTGTAAGGCATTACAATGCTTGCTTCAGATGTTCTCCGTTCCATCTGATCACATTATTGCTGAAGGAGAACATTTTGCAGTAAAGGCTGGATCTAAAATACATATTGGAGTTCTTCCAGTTCTCAGCACACTTCGCTCTACCACAACAGATGCTGCTTTACAAGCTTTTGTTGGAACAGATGCCGAAGTATACCCTTTGGTGAACCAATGGGTTTCAACTGCAGTTCTTCTTTCCGTTGATGCCACTTGCGATCGTTCAGGTGTTTCTACGCCTATTACCAAGCACATCTTTGCCGAAATTGAGAAGTCTGTGGAAAGTTTTGATTTAAAGAAGAGTTTTTTGGTGGGAACACCACGTGCGACAGTTGCCGATTTTCTACTTTATGCAGCTATTCATGGACATCCTGATGCCATGAAAGAAGCGCAACCTTCAACCATGGCTTGGTCATTACATGCCCAAAATGATCCTTATCTTAAGCCTATTCTTTCTGAAGCAGCGATAGCGGAAGCCGAAGCAAAGCTGGCTAATGCACAGAAATCGAAAAAGCCAGTGTTTGTAAAACCCTCTGAAGAGGAAATCTTACGTCGTCGCTTGGAGAAGGAAAAAGAAAAACAAGAGAAATTGGCAAAGGCAGCAGCTGCTGGTGGTGCTGCTACGTCATCATCGTCAGATGCAAAGGAAGCAAAGGCGCAGCAGTCGAAACAAAAGGAACCTGCATCACTGGATCCCAATACTCTTGATATTCGTGTGGGTCGATTCACAAACCTTAAACGACACCCTGACGCAGATCGTCTTTATGTTGAAGAGATGGATCTTGGTTCAGAGAAACGCACTATTGTCTCTGGTCTTGTGGAACACTACAAGCCTGAAGAGCTGGAAGGAACGTTATGTCTCGCCGTTTGTAATATGAAGCCAAAACCCTTAAAGGGTGTTACTTCACATGGTATGGTGTTGTGTGCCTCTAATGAAAAAACACTGCGCCTTGTTCGACCACCAGAAGGAGCACAGCCAGGAGATCGTATTCTTTTTGCTGATGTTTTTGATGCGGAACGTCTAAAGGAGACGAAACAGTTGTCTGGTAATGCCATGAGCGAATTAATTGGATTCCTTCGTACAGACAGCGAGGGTGTTGTACGTTGGCGCGATATTCCTGCACTACATGCTGCTGGTATGCTCAAGGTTCCAGAAGTAACAGACGCTGTCGTCAAATAACTGAGAAATCTGTGTAAGGGAGAAGAATAGATAACGTATTCGGATTGGAGGATTATTCTTTTTCTTATTGTTCATATTTTTTTTCTCTCCTTCTTTTTCCATTTATTGTCTCTACTGTTACACTTTTTTATTTTTTTATTTTTCTGCTCTTTAGTATGGGCCATTATGAAATCATTTTTTTTTTTTTTCCTTTCTCTCTCTCTCTCTCTTTACTTTACTTTTTTATTTATTTATTTATTCATGCTTACTTGTAGCTCCGCTTATTATTGAAGCGAATAACACAGATATTCAGTCCTCATTCCTCTTGATTTACTTTGGTAGGGATGTATCGAACGAAGAAATCAGATGGAAGGGCTTCTGCTGTTACGGAGGCTCATGTGAACGCTATGGAAGTGTTGCCACCACAAGAAGCTCCAATGCCAGAGCCGACTCCGGAGACGACGCTTGCAAATTCACTTATGTATTTCAAAGCGCGTCTATTGGCCCCATTTATGCTTTTTGACAAAAACATTCGGCAAGTTGTACCAAACCCTGCACATGATCGTGTGCTGCGCGCTGAGGTATCGCGTGTGCAAGGAGTCGTTCTCCGTGAGATTCGGCGAGCTCTAGAAAACGAATCCAAATTAACACCTAAAGAAACACTTTATGCTGTTCAGAAAAGTGTCATGTTTGCCTTTGCCTCTTGTATTGTATCAAGTGACATGGAGACCCTTGTGCCAATTTCTTCTGAAGAAGAGGCAGTGGGTCCAATGGCACGTCTGGAAAATGTCTTTGCTGAGCGAAACGCTTGTGCTAAAGCTGTGGCAACACTTGGCGCTGTACTCTCGACAGGTATAGTTCGAGACACATATGGAGAAGCATGTAAGCGACTTGAAGCACGACTTGCAGCAGAGGAAGAATCGGAAATAAACAGCAAAAGAACAAAGAATGCAAAGCTTGCACTAGGAGCAACAAAAAAGAACACACAAGATCTTGTACAACTTCGTAATGCTTTGGTTACAGCATTTGATGCTATCAGTACTCCTTTTTATGAAAATGGTACTAAACCACAAGCGAATAGTTCGACATCAGATGCCTCAGCAGCAGATCTTACTGTGGAATCGTATTACGGTCTCCTTGGTTGGGTACTCATGTTGCAGCCGGAACGTCTTCATTTGGAGGCTGTTCATTCTACAGTTTCACCTATACAGAAGCCGAGAGAAGCGGTAGAACAGTTTGCTAAGGTAACCTCTTATAATCCTGCTACAGGTGAGGTTACAATTGTTCGTGCAAAACCCACATCCAAGTGGGGTTTGATGATTAATTCTGGAGGGGCTTTGATTGGTTTGGAAAATTCTCTTCGAAATGCTACTTCTTCTGGAGGTGAGCTGTATAGTGCTATTCAACAGCAGAAGGCGGGTTTATCAATTTTTAACATAAATGGGCGCTCTGTTCGAAGCAGCAAAGGTGAGAAAGAAGACACTCCAGAGGCCAAGTCCTCACGCATGGGAAAGATACTGGAAGTACTAAGGCAGTCAGATCTTGAAATTTCTTTAACTCTTACAAAAGTTGAAAAACATGATGAACCACAAGAAGTGGCTTTTGATCTTATAGAGCAAGGAGGTGAGGGAGCATCTGGACAAGAGGCTGCACTCATTCTCAGGAGACCATCCACTGAGGTACAGTGGCAGCTCACGTTGCGTTTTCGCAGTGAAGGCTTTTTCGTTTTAGATGACTTTTCTAGTTCGCTGAGACTTTCTAAAGAGGCTAAGAAGTTTCTTTCTACTCATCGTGGTCATTTGTTAATCACGCACGTCAATGGATGCGCGATATCAAATAATAAATTTCTCATGGACTTAATTTCTAGCTCTGTTTACCTGGTGTTGCGCCTTCGTGTGGTAAATGACGTAGAACCTCTTGTGGGAGAGATGATGGCCCCTGAAGGAGCTACAGGGACGAATACCATATCAAAGGTGATTGAGGGAAATCTAGGACTAGCTGTAGAGTCTACAGTCGAAGAGATTCTACCCCAGACAGATGCAGCAGGTGAACTTGAGGACGCTGAAGTAGCCCAACATCGAACCCTGTTAGAAAAACACCACATTGATCCAGATGAACCATTGCCGCATGCGGAGGAGGAAGAAGGAATGGTTGCATCCAAAAAGAAGAAGGGTCGTTCAAAGAAGGTGACGGCAACAGAAGCTGACGAAGTGGTACCACCCATAGAAATGGAAGAAAATGCCGCGGAGCTACCAGCAGAGAGCGAGGCGGAGGAAGTATCTTCCAAAAAGAAGAAGGGTCGTTCAAAGA